GGAAGACAAGTCTGGTGAGATGTCCTTCGCACAAAGAACCTGTGCTCGCTCTACCTGCGCTTAGGTAAAAACAGTATCTTGGTCAGCGACGGCACCTCGTTGGAAGACAAGTCTGGTGAGATGTCCTTCGCTCTGCCTGCGCATTCTGTTGTGACTTAACATAGCAGAGATTTAGATGAAGAGGTTTACAAAGGGAGCCAACATATTGGAGTGTCTTACATTCTACCTCATCTGTTTTCCACCTTCTAAAACTGGCAAAAGTGTTTTTTAAAACTCAATGCATCGCAAGTTGAAAAGAGCCGAATGTATCTTCCTCACAGGCTCTACATGCGGTAGGTAAGACTTTCTAACTTACATATTCCGCCGTAACATGTGGGGATCTAAATGAACGTTTTTCTCAAATTAATCTTCGACGCAAAGCCAAAATGCCTTGGCCCTGCATCTGACGGCCATCTGAATCTACGCGAGAAGACGTAACAAAGGGTAGTCTCAAGCGTGTATTTGACTAGAATTAGTCTGCCGGTTCACATTTATCAGGCGGTACATGACGGAACCACAAAGCAATCAAATAGACACCGTTTGCTTTTAATACCACAGGCTGCACTTCAATTAATAACAACATTCTTTGTCCAAAAAGATGATAACAATTTTCTGGGTATACAATGCCTGCTGGATGTCGTCAAATCAGTTGGTTGACCGAAGCGAGAAATTGAGTGATGTCCAGGATAGGGGCGGAGAGTGAGGACGAGTGAGTTCGTATTCCGTAGAGCATATAATTCAGTTTAAACAATCAAACGCGCACGAATTTTTCACACTGCACTAGAAGCCGTTTCTTGAAAAGGCTACCGACTCGCTCCTCCTCTCAGGACGGATGTCTGCTTCTTCATGTGGCCTTTACGGTGCTGTCATTCAGTCCAATTGCAAAATGTCCTCAGAGCTAATTACTTAGTGTGCTATATCTTGCTTGTTTGTGTGTAAATCCGTGGAAGTGTGTGTGTGTTGGCAGGCCTAGGCGCGGGATCACACTGTTCCAGCCCCAGCGTCCGGTCTATTCTCCGGTCTTCTAGACAATCTTGTGATATAACGCCCAGGTGGACGACGATAAAGTTAATGCATAAATACTGCGCAAGTCTACTATTACTGCAAACGAATTCACACGTGATTCACCGTCCGAATTATACCCACATAAACTGGCACACAGTTATACATAAAGTCATTGAAACCGAGCTCAGGTAAAAACGGCATCTTGGTCTTTTACGTAAGTGTCAAAAGCGAAGCAGACACATTACTGCGGAACCACTACAGGCAGGCACTTGCTTCCGAAGACAAACGATTTATGTACTCACTTGAGAGCCTCTGAAGTCGCGAATGCCAGTCCATGATTTCAGTTGAAATGCAGGAAAAGCAACCCCTTGCCGACATCGACAAAATCGAAGAGACGAGTCGCTTGACGTTTCGGACTCACGCTCGAATACATCATCAGTGACAACAGCCGATAGGGCTTTTCCATGCGCATGGCGTGAAGTATTTATGTAGTGCAGCCAACATGCTGCAGCATACCTATGAAAATTCACTGGTGCTGCCGGCATCATTCCGAATTGTTGCGCTTGGCATGATGACTGTTCGATGGCCGAAATTCGAGTCGTTAAACGTTGAGATGTCATCATGCGTACTCGATGTCGGCGTGATGAGTACTCAACCAGTGGGAATAGTACTCACTGTCCCTGTCGCATGCCAGTCTCGGAAAGAGCAGTTCCTGTTACCCCTGTTCTAACTTCGACGATGGGGTCGCGTACATCGACAAATACTAGACAGATTAATTTCCCTTGTAACGATAGTGTTCTAACAAATGCATCCACTTTTGATGCAAAACCCCAACGAAAATGATCAGCTAAGTTTGGGATGGCTACATGACAAGTATCAATAATATTGCGACAACATTTTGCCGAGGAGAAATCACAATCTCTACTTACTGCTCGTTGAACTTTTGAATTAATAATTTGACTGTATCTTAGAAAATCTAGGGAACACTCAATATGACGTAAGCTGGCATGAAGTATGTGTTTCTTGACGTGCATTTTTGAATCGGTGGTTTGAATGCTTATGCTGTCGCCATTAGTTCGGGAAAAGAGAGCGAATTTGTTTTATCAAAATAGGACATTGAAAAGACGTTTGCCAACATTTAAGCCACAGGGTTTCGGAGAACAAATTTATGCAACGCCTGATTTATCAAGGATTGTTGCACTGAGTGTGATACTTGTTCGATTGCCGACATCTGATTAGTTAATAGCTGCAATTCCGTCATGGGTGCTGGATGCTGGCGCGATTAATGCTAGACCATTGGGAATAGGATTAACTATTACTGGTGCATGCCCTATCCTCATCTCGTCGATGGGATCGCGCACATCCATAAAGAACTATGCAACACGATGTCATTAACACCAAGACGTTAACCGATAAAATTCAAACAAATTTATGCATTGTTGATCATCAAATTATGTGAGTGCTGCAGGATGACACCAGTTAATAATAAGAAGGCATTTTTGGTTTTGAAGATGAATAATAATATTTACCCGGTTGACAGCCTGTTAAGCAGCGAATACCTGTTCATCCAGTCGGCTGAGGTTTGCGTCATTATCTGCGATTGTGAAAACTGAACATTCGCCTGCACTCCCATCTCTGATACACGTCTGATTCAGTGAGAGAGACAGCAGTTTCTGAAGCCCCATGTCGTCCATGACATCAGTACGCAACTAAATACTATTCAGAACGATGCCTCTACGTTCAAGACGTTAAACGATAAACTTCCAATGAATTTATTGGTAAATTTCATCAAACCCTAACGCCAATGATCGGCATGGATTGGAAGGTCTGCTAGCTGACTGCAGTTTATTCTGAGATAACATCTCAGTCTCGGAAAAGGAATCTTAACCTCCTTTGAAATGGTGAGCTAATTATCTGACTGGTAATTAAGCAATTTTGGGAACGCACGGAATTGCGTCAGCTGACACAAAGCATGCGTCTTTTGACGTGAAAGATAGAACCGCTGATTTTGTTATGTGAATGTGATTGCCTACGTTGTTGCCACTTGTTTAGCTGAGGAAAGCGAGCTTCTGTAATTAAAGGAGGGCTCTAGAGGAGTTTTTACTCGATAAGGGGTAAAACGTTTCCTAGAATAAATATATGCAATATTTGAAAGAACACATTGGTGAGCTCGTACGTCATAGAAGGGTCGCATTTGCAATTGCCAATGGGGGGAGGTAAGGTGGGGATTATCCTATGCATGTTTATTGGCTCATGCGTTGTATTTAAAGAGCCCCTCTACGTGGCATGCGCGCGTAGACCTATGGAAATGTTTGTGCAGATCCTTTCACTGGCAATAGCTTATGGCGTCTGCGGACAGGGTGAATTTATTTGAAAATTCTATTGCCAAAACCTACAGTTTTGCTTTCTGTCATATTTTTAATACAAAGTTTAATCGGAAACGTTTTCAGCCCAAAAGTTGCACTTTTCCGTTTCCTTTACAGAGGACACGAGCACCTTGGAATTTAAACAGAACAGCGATTATGTTTATACGAAAAGTCTCTATGGGGCCGTTGAGGTAATCGCTGCCTGTTGGGCGATGCGACGATTTTCCAATTTTATTGAGGTTACAAAATCTTTTCTTCACATAGTACATGACCGTTGACGGCATGCGCGTTTCAGAGGCTACAACTGGCTCGCACTGTATCGCGCCGAATGACTGCTGGGAAATTATCCGACGTAAGATATTCGTGAGGATTTTCGTTCCTTAAAAACCCATTTAGTTAAGACAAAGACGTTGCACACTTAACAGAAATATAAGTAGTCAGGTACACAAGCAGTTCGTTCTTTTGAAAGATGCATGCAAATAATTTTTTCAAAACACGCGACATTCTCAATGTCCTTTAAGCGCTGGTTGCTTGTGCACATATGTGGAAGATAGTACTGGCAACAATGGAGAAAAAAGGAAAAAGGTTGGCTTGTAAATAAATATTTACTAACGTAGAAACTATTTATTCTCCCTGAAAACTAGAATTTCAGAAAATGTCTTTATTATAAATCGCCTAAAATGCATTCCATAAACACAAATAACAAGACCAAATCTATGACATACTGCACACTCACATTTCCGCCTCAATACTTTTTGAGTTAGAACACCTGCAAGTGGGTCATAGCGACAAAGACAAGGGAGCCTCGAAGGGCCGTTTCTGGCGTATTGACTGTCATCAGCCAGTTATGCCCAACGTAAAGTGTGGCTCACTTGAGATTCGAACTTGGGATCTTTGGTCATGGAGTTTGACACTCTACCATCGAGCCACGGACACGTTGTCCTGTCGGTTGTAATGGCGCATATAATTTATGGCAGTTGGGAGCTTCGCCGAACGTTTTACGAAATGTGCTCGTACCCATGTGCCTTAGTGCTCAAACTGGGACCCTCGACCGCAGTCGCTCAGCGACTGGTACTATGTGTGTAAATCAGATGATGCCATCAAAGACAAATGTTTAATAATGGTGACCGTTTCTAATGATGACATTTATTGAGTCCGCGCAATGACCATTTATATACCATCGTACCTATCCGTTTACAACTGCTGCTCTTAAAATGTACCATGTAGTCCGCATTCATTGCAAAATGTTATGGACTCTATATACTATCTTTTTAAAAGCACAGAAGAATGTGTGATTTTCTTTACACGAAACGCATTAAACTTGTGAACTGAAATCATTATGCAATCATGAAACGGCTAATCAGGCTCCAAATTATTCGACAATCATGAAACTTTTCTAAAACCTAATTATTCTTACTGTTCGAGCATACAATATAAAGATGAAGTAATCCGCTATCAAGAAACTAAGATAGAGCCTTTTTTGCTTGTGGTTTCAATAAAATATCATTGAATTTGCAAGACCATCGAAAACCAATAGAAGAAATGCATACTACATAATTAGTCATTGTTTACTATGTGCGGTTTGTACAGAAGATTGGGAAGCAGAATAATCATAGGCTTACATCCCGCTGAGTCCGAAATATTATGCCATGATGCAGAAGGATAATCAGCCTTTCAACCGCGCCTAAGTAATCTTTCCCAATCGAAAACGCATTTCAGACTTTCAGACAACATTTCATGTGATTAATCACTCAGCTTATGTGCGAGTGAGGTGAGGAATGCTTAATAGTGGTGAGACAATTTCCACTCTAATATTTCTTTCGATCTTGAACATTTATGTCCCAGATATTCAACGAAAATTACATTGCACTCGAAAAAACAGACGCAATTATAATAATGGTGTATTAACCTCATATTTACGGCAAAAGTATGCCGGCAAGTATTAAAATGAGCTGGCCAGGATTAGATTTACATGGTGTATTTCACACTCAACTCTGTCCCAAATTTACAAATAAATCTTTTCTTCAAAAGCCAGACAGTACATGATTGTTAATGGTTTCCTGGAGGAATATCCGGCATCATTCGTGTTGGAGCCGAAGGATCCTATTGGCAGATGCTCTGTTGGAGTACAATACACAAGTGCCAACATATCGGAGTGTAAGTCAAAGTAGCCATTTTAGTCAATTTACATTAACATTGTATCATAAATGTGTTTATATCCGTTAATCTTCGTGGCAGGCATTAGTGAAGTCACTTACTTAGCTCATGAAAACAAAAAGAGTACAAGAGGCAGAAAAATACGTCCTAACGGTGATTATGTGTGTTGCCAATCGATCTGCTGGAATTTATTTTGAGTTAAGGCAAAAAATCCGCTGGCCTCTTGTAGTTTAAGCAGCTTTAGAAATTGCGTTTCAAAAATACCGCATTTAATGATTTCTCCTTTAGATATACCGCTGCCTTCTGGAGTAGTATCTATCTTCTCGAAAGAAATCCTCAAAAATGAAAGACTCATTCATATTCTGCTGTTCAATGGAAAACTTTCGGTAATCATCGGAAACCAATTTTATCATTCCAACTGCGCGGTCTAAATGGTGCTTCTAAGCGCCTTACATGAGAATCGTTAGCGTGTAGGGATAAGCATGACATTATTCATTTGAATTAATCTGAGGAACCTATTTAATTGACGCACTAGCATGCGCCATTTTATATACTACTTGGAACTGAAGAAAAAGCATCATTAGTAAATAGATTATTTGTACCTTTATTACTTCCATGTCAAGTAGATGAGGTTGGTTTTGTTCAGACAAACTGATTTTGGTTTATTGTTGAAGTGATTTTGGCATTAATCTACTTCAGCAGTAAGCTTCTAGTCAAGTAGAATAACGCCTCCGGCACCATTTCATGTTCGTAACCGTTCAGACCATATACCGCGCGGGGGACATTTCGGTAAAGAAAAGAAACGACAGTATTTTATCAGTTCTCGGGGTTTTCGGTAAGTGCATTATTCAGTGTTGCCAAAGATTTCATTAAAGTCATGCCAATGGATTTGATTCTTGCAAAACACTTTTAATAACAGGTTTTCCACATAAAACAGTTTTTACATATGAGCGTGTGTGCTTTCAGTGGAGAGGAAGGAAGTTGTACTATTTACGGGACATCTGGGAACCGAAACACGACAAATGGAGATAAAGTTTACGACTGGCAGGGTGACTCGTGTTACCATAAATCCTTCCAATAAGCCGGAGGCCACGGCTCCAGTGTTAACATTCATCGACTTCATGCACGCATTCCAGTGCACAAAGAATTAGTTCGGGGTGATGGATTCACATTTATTTGAATGGCAGTGTGTGGTTGAGGGCTGCTTTTAATTTAAACAAAGATTCATGCATAATGTTTTTCTTGCAGTTTGAGCACCCCATAATTATGAGCCTTTAAACGCGTTATTAACTGCAGAATTTAAAACGGTCAGAAACCTGTAAACTCTCGTTATACAATTCAAAATATCTTAAAGACGGTAAATGATTAGGGGCAGTCGATGAACGATTGTTTACGGGCAAACGTAGGAGATGAAAAAATCAATAGTTTCAAGCTTACGAACTCGCCATATCTGCTTATCTCTCAAGTACGATTTTGATGACGTTCCGCAGATGCTGCGCTGACAAATTGCCACAGATTATTTTAGTGTTTCTAGAGAAGTATCTATGGCGTTTGCACAGCCGTTTAAATAAGCGCTTCTCCTCAAGTAGGATTCTTGTATTTATTGTTGCAGGAAAATTGTGGGCTGTGGATTACATTATGTAATGTTTCTGTACAATGACATTGATAACCGTCATTTGAAATCCATATCAAAGCGTGAGTTGAAATAGTAGTTCAGACATGCGCAAAGAACATATATATATATATATTTGGTAAGCTAACACAAACTAGATCAAGTTATTGGCGTAGCTGGAGTAAAGGCCATGGCTTCAGTGTTAACATTCATCGACTTTATGCACGCATTTATGTGCAAATAGAAGTCCCTCCAGGTGCTGGATTTACGACTTTTTGAATGGCAGTGTGTAGTTGAGGGTTACTTTTAATTTCAACAAATGTTCATGCATAATGTTTTCTTTCAGTTTGAGTATTTCACACTGCATATGTCGTACGAACACCGCTCATAAACTGGAACTTCAGAAAAGAGCAAGCCTGTCCTGCCTTTAACTGAGGGAAAAAGAGGTCGGGCGGGGGGCGGGAGGGCGCATAGGTCAAATATTTGAGTATAAGGCCAATCTTCGCAGCAGGTCGTTGGACACCTTTAAGAATCCAAAGTCTTCCCGAAGCCAAGAGCACCATGCCTGTACCACCTATTCCAGATGCGGCCATGGCTCCAGTGTTAACACTTATCGACTTTGTGCACGCTTTCAAGTTGAAGTAGAGGAACTACCACATAAGTGCTCCATGCACGCTAATAAAGTTATCAGCATCTGGATGTACAAACCCGCGCATCGCTCTCACCGTTGGCATTGCTTGCATTGCGACTTAACAACATTATGCTGGTAGGTTGAAGTCAATTTTATCGAAACGTTCATGGCATTTTTGTTTTTTGAGGCTTCAATTAGCTGACGTTGCGAGCGATGCTGTCATAAAGATGATTTTCTTCTTTGCATTGCTGACATTAGATGCATTACCATTGACATTGCATTTACACAACAGGTCTTGCGTCATGGTTGCAGTTTTTTGTCTCCATGCAGTAACTGTTTGTCTCCTTTAATTAACGTGAACAGACTAGGATCATTCCCCAAAAGTTTTATATTTTACTTGGGATGCTATGGCATTTGCTTCGATAATGAAGAATAAAAAACCACAGAACAGATTTTCGTAGAAATTTATGATTAACTGGCGCCGACTATGAGCAGTAGCTATCCTCATTAACAAACAGTTTGAGATGATTCACGAAGGCTTGAATCCGGTTCAGAAGATTGCCTCGTCCCCAAGTCTGGCATTTGTGTGACACGCAATTAAAGGCCTTACTACATACAAAGCAAACGATCTCAACTAACTTGTCTTCATTCACGTCATTTGACCGAAGTTAAAGTGGTGCAAAGACGTCTGTACTGCAGGACTCCCTTTTGCTTGCCAGAGATGATAAACAACGGTTTGGCTGATTTCTCAGCTATTCGATGTAGAAGATCAAGTGGAATCTAATCATACAAATCCCATCTTCTGTAACTCTGCCAATACAAGCTTAGTCGTAAGTAATACTTTGCTCGACTTCTAGAAGGGTGTCATTTAAAACTGGCATGTTTGGTTTTATGTTCTTAACTTGGCGAATGTTAAGTTATTGCTGACTTACTTGGGTTCATTTATAAGTACCCATTTGCTTTGTATGGCTTTAATCTATCCAAGTGCCTTCAGGTATCTCTTCTCCACAACTAACGACGTCCATGTATTAAGCAATGAGCTCGTGTCAGAAAATTATCATCACATCGTCCGTCATCACGGTTCTGGGGTTAGGCCACATAGAGTGAATGGGCAAACTCACGAAATCTCAACAGAAATTCTGAAATGCGTTTCCGTTTCGAAAAGATTAACTAAGTAGGTTAGTAAAACCAGTCACCATGCAGCATACATCTATAAAAGTTCTGTTACCGCGGAACGCAGGCCTTCGAACAAACTTCTCTTCGGCTGCATTCAAATCCGTACTCTATAAAAAATGGCTACTTAATTAGCATGCACTTTTTTTTATTTATTTATTTATTATTTATTCAATTATATTTCGTGGAAGCCATTCAGTAAAATATTCATTATTTTGCTGCTTCAGTAGAAAATTGCGTCATCTTTCAATTTTACATTCCAAGGAAGGGTAAAAGTCGGTTTTAAAAAACCCTTCCATTTCCTGAATTATTTTGAACCCGACCTGCCGTTACACTTGCATTTAGGGTCCCAAAACCCCAAGCCGTATAATTTCGGCGTACAGAAAACCATGCATTTCTCTACGGTAAAAAAGTGGGACCATATAGGGTTCATAAAATTTAGCAGCGGATTTGAGCGACATTGTTAACTTTACAAGCCACTTTGATAAACGCAGAGACATAACGATTTATGAAGGGCCACTTCCAAAGTCTTATAAAATGTCACAATGAGAAACTGATCCTGAAGCCGAATAATACATTTCCTTCGAGTGTAAAATTGAAAGAAGTCGTAATTTTCTACTGAATGAGCAAAAGAGTGCAAATTGTGTACGTGTTTTCCATGAAATATAATTAAATATTTAAAGGGCATCAACAATCAATAAAAATATGCATGCTGCTTAAGTAGCCATTTCGAACGGTGTATAGTTATTCAATGCAGCGTAAGAGAAGTTTGTTCGAAAGTCGGCGTCCCGCGGTAAAAAAAAATATTGCAAAATCATGCTGCACAATGACTGGTTTTCCAAACCTACTTAGTTAACCTTTTCGAAACGGAAACACAATTCGTAAATTCTGTTGAGATTTCGTGAGTGAGCCCACCTACTGTACTATCGTCTATCGTCTCACACTTACATATCTTTCATACATCGAAATGTCTTCCACTGTTGTAGATGAGACAGTAGGAACTCAAATAGCATCAAGTCGTAATTTAAGGACTGCAGTTACTTACACAAACTGTACCGAAACCTGAGGGCTAAATTCAACTCAACAGGCGCTTGCGGTAAGCGTTCTCTTCAGCTAAAATACAGATTTTGGGATCCTCTGACACTTTGGCGACACGCTATCCCACTCCTGGCATCACGCAGCATCGATTGGTACTGATTACACGCCAGCGTCGATTGAAAACGTGCTGGTGACAAATCTTGCGTGCGACGAGATGACGATAGATTCATCGTCCTCATTTGCAGCTCAGAATAGGCAATTTCGTCTCCCGGACTAGTAGATGATACTTCTAACACGGCGACTGCGCAGTCTTCGGACACGTGTTGAGGGGTGCTAATGGGTCCGTGAATTTCAACATGTCCTCTACTCTGTCCTCCCTGACATCTAGTTCAAAATAGGACAGGAAATCAACACCCAACTGCCGATCTGGCACGTTCTTGTCTATCGGAAGTACAAAGGACATCTAAAAACATAGGTGTATATGAAGGATATTCATACAATTTTAATTCCTGAGTAACCAAAGTAAGCACTCTTTGTGTCGCACACGCAGTCGTGCAAGAACATTTTGTAGAAGTGCAGAAACACTTGGCAGCGGAACAAACGCAAGAAGGCCAGAAGTCAGCCACCTGTTAAGCCTCTTCATGGCCAACGGGCATTCTCGTTAATTTATCGAACGCCATCTGCCGGATGAAGTGCAACTCTTGGGCGATAAAATACATTGGGAAGACCAGCAAACGACTACAGAACCGTGTTGGAGAACACGTGAGGGCAGTAAGGTGAATGGACCCATTTGGCTGTCGTAGTAGAACACTCTGCCGAATGCGGAAACATGTTCTCAATCCAGAATGCCGATCGTGGAAACGACCGCGTAGCCAGGCCAACATTCGACGCCTGGCTAACGCGTGTAAAACCTTCATCAACTGTCGTGTTTCGCTTCCTGCGGCCTACCAAGCTCTCCGGGCGCAGCCGAATTAAAAAAAGAGCAAAAGCGAACCCAAGCTGACCATGAATCCAAGCATGGGCGAGTCCATGAGGGACACACACTTAGCCGCCCCTCAACCCGGTTCTGACGAAGGCACAGTCGTCACTACAGCCGTCCGACAGACGGGAAAGGAGACACTCGTGGCAGCGTAAAGAAGAATGTCAGCCTTGGACGACGGCTTAGGTCAATTAGCGTTTCAACGCCGACCCCCTTCATAGACTGAGTACACTCCGTCACTTTGCCTCCCCTGTCCGCCACAGTCCATTTGTGCACTCGGATAATGACCACTAAGTATAAAATGCCACCGCTCCCCTCATCTGGCGACAGGATGCCCTAGAATTCCCTCCCCGCCTCTTCTTCCCTGCCACCCTAACTGCATACGTAAGCCCCACCTGTCACCCACCTACAAATAGTGCGAGGCGCGACATTGCACCCACCTCCGACAATGGAAGCTTGTACGTTTTTGAAACGTCAGTACAGTAAACCTCTGTGGTTTCCAATACTGCCTTTTCTCATTTTTGTCCCAAAAGACGCATTTTCCCTTTTATTATATATACATAACTAAAAATACGGGGGAATAGTACGAAAAAAGTAAGTCAGCATTTGATTACCGACTTTAGCGACACACACGACATGCTCTGCTGCAAACCACGCCCGGTTTTTCTTAGAATGGGTGAGTGCCTCAGATCGCACATGCATGATGGTGCCATAAGGG